GGTTCGCGATTCACAGTTTTCACGCCTAATATATATAGAGAGAGATCTACAGAAAAGGAAATAATTACTGAGTCAAAGCATTAATTCAATTACTATTTAATGTAGTACATGCTCCGAACTATATTTGATTTGCCCAGCTATGAACAGATTAAACTTCTGTACGTAAGTTGTAATGTATTGTAAATTTCCATGTGTCTGTTCATACAGGAGATTGAATTCGATAAACTCTTCTGCCTAAATCAATAAAGGAGAGTAAAATATCCAGACATCAGAAGAGAGATTACAAATTCCTGTTCCCACGATACAAATTCTCTCTTCATAGTGCCAATAATAATGGAATTTAATATGGTGGCGAAGTCGTGCAATGTCATGACGGCCTCGTATATCATCGTTAGTAATACTGTAGCTGAAATGGTATATATCGTTCCTTTCGTGTAAACATCATCTCTACTCAGTCTTCGTTTAACTTTGCTATAAATGGTGGCAAGATAGTGATAAATTTCAAGAATCTTCGAATTCAAACTTCGGAAATATTTTCTCATTATTCAATAGAGCAAGATTAAAATCTTATATTTTCCACATATGTTGACAAATTGTAGGTGAAAATTTCCATTTTTAAATTGCAAATGCTTCATACCAATATAGCTGAACACATTGAAAGTTGTATAAACTGAAAACGCTAACAGCTGTTAGAAGTCTGATAACAGATCTTCTAAAATTTCTTACAGATTAAAAATATGTATTAAATTCACACGACTTCCCTGTTTTGGTAAATTATAGGCAAAACATTTTCCTCTACATCAGATATTTTTATACCAGCTCGGATAAAATGTAACTGTCATTAGGGTAACATTTTGTATCTACATTAAGATAGTATAATACAGTAGTAACAAAATACAGTAGTACTAAAATAAATGCATGTGATAATTTAATGCGTAGAAGGAATTCGATACTTAACAGCTGTCGATATCCGTTATGGCTGATGGTTAAGGCATACCGATGAAGATAACAAAACTGAATTTTCATAAATCACCAATCTTTTATCTTCGCACATATCAAATCATTTCTCAGTAGATAAGATATTTCTAGATCATAAGCAAACACAATATTTTTATATGCAAGTTATATCATTAAGACACAATAACACGCAGAACAAATACTAATTCAGAAGTCAAATAACAAAAATCAGCGTTATATTTTCAAATTTTCACAGGACTAGTTTCGATGGTTTTACAGAACCACCATCCTCAGCTGCAAAAGCGCAAATGGACGAGATAGCATATAATGATTAGATAAGATAAGAAAGCATGGACAGAAAATAAGCAAGTGGCGCCATCTGTTGATAAAACCAGAACTAAAACGTAATTTCTTTAAAGGGCGAAGGCAAAGATGGATTGGAATTAGGATCGTTAACTAGAACAGAACGATTTTTTTTTATGTGAAATGCCTCTAGAAATTCTCCAATGGAATTGGAGAACTGGATTTTCTAGAGTTTTATTTTATTTATTCAAAAATGTTTTTTTGAATAATTTTGGGAGCAGAAAAATTGAAAGTGTGATTTTCGGACCAACAATGTTAGGCAACAAAAGACTTCTGTGTTTTTGTTTTTTTTTTCTAACATATGCCTCATGTTCCTTGACGCGAATTTTTAAGGCTCTCTTAGTTTCGCCAATGTAAACTGCTTGATTAATAATGTTGGGTGAAACCAACATTATAAAATTCTCATCTCAACACACTAAAAGGCACACTCTTGTTTTAGGAGATTATAAAAATTCTGTTGCCATTCCCTTCTTTCCATCAATTAGCTATAAAGTTGCATATATTTTTCAGAAATTTAACTTTCGGAACTTAACTTTTCGTTTATTCTCCTATCAATAAATTTCCGAGTTCCATACTCAAGGACCACATTCCGGATACTGGGCTATTTATAGGATTCCTTGCCAGTGTGGTTTAATTTACTTTGGCCAAACTAAGAGAGCCTTAAAATTTCGCGTCAAGGAACATGAGGCATATGTTAGAAAAAAGGAAACACAGAAGTCTTCCGTTACCCAACATTGTTGGTCCGAAAATCACACTTTCAATTTTTGTGCTGCCAAAATTATTCAAAAAACATCTTCCATTGGAGAACTGGATTTTCTAGAGGCATTTCACATTCAAAAAAAATTTTTCTTACTAGTTAACGATCCTAATTCCAATCCATCTTTGCCTTCGGCCTTTAAAGAAATTATGTTTTAGTTCTGGTTTCATCAACAGATGGCGCAAATAGCTTATTTCTGTCCAGACTTTCTTATCTTATCTAATCATTATATCCTATCTCGTTCATCGGCGCTTTTGCAGCTGAGGATGGTGGTTCGGTAAAACCATCGAAACTAGTCCTGTGAAAATTTGAAAATATAGCGCTGAGTTTTGTTGTTTGACTTCTGAATAAGTTATATCATCTTAGAACAAAGAAGCATAGAGATGTTTGCATAGCGGAAGCTAGGGAAATGAATAATGTAGTTATTGTGCCATGAGTATTTATACTAAGTATGATGTGCAAGTAAAAGCTAATTTGTGATTGGTTAATTTTAGGTTGTTATATAACATGGAAGGATCTCGATTTTGGAAGAACAGATGAATTTAGGGAGAGAGCATACAATCTGGAATCGTTAATTTTGAGGTCGCCAATTATTTTCTTAAAGCAGCTATCGTATTTTGTTATATCTTACACATTTCCGATATAATTTCTAGGATAACATCCGAGAAATCACAAAATATGTTTTATCTAACATTTCGTAAAAGAAATACATGCATACATATTAAGCAGGCGGTCGGGATATTTGTATGAAAGTGATGCATATTAATGAAATGGAAATGTCACGCGCACTTTTCTGCGCAGACAGATTCCCTGCTACATATTAAACTAAGCGTATATGATAAAATGATGTTAAAAGGCAACACATATCGCTGTTATGAAGATTTAATCTGTAGTTTTCATTCATTCCAAAGAACTCAGACATTAAAACAAATTGTTTTTATAACCTTTCATAATTCAGCAAACTCTTATTTTTCTTTATGTTATAGGCATATTACTTTATTCTAATGTAAATAAAATAAAATTTTGATAGGTTTCATAATTGTTTATGTATTTCAATTTATTTAGTTATTGATTTATTTACCTCAAGCTATTTTCCTAAAATTAATTGCTAACATAAGAATTCAGGATATATTCCGTTGCATTTGTAGGTAATAAAAATCTAGTTAAAGAATCTAAAAGTAAAGCAAGACATAATTAAAGCTTCATTTCATTATATGCGAAGTAATGAGTAGACTTGGAGGAAATGTCTATAACTTATATCCATTATGTTTTGCATTAGAAATGTTGTTTTCTATTTATATATCACGGGTTAAGCTGCATGAAATAATAGCTAGTCATACTAATCTCTTGTGCAACGAAATATGGGAAAAACATTATTACATCATTTAAGAAAAGTCTGACTTTGTATCAAAATACCTGCATTAGAACAATTGCCATGTATAAATCTAATATATCCCCTAAGTCTCGCTTTCAATACCATGAAAAACGCAAGTTAAATTTTGTTAACTGGCCCAGTAGAACGGGAGATATAGAACTGTGACATTTTTTGTCGTGCAAGTTGATCGTCACGTAGCCTTATTGCAAAATGTACTACAGTCAAAAGTCGTTAATTCGGACACCCATAATCCGGTATGATCTATAATCCGGACCCTCAAAGCTACAAACTTTCTGCGCATGCGCGTAAGACCTTTACCGCTGCGAATTTGCGTGTGCGCGTGCGCAAAATACGTTTACGAATGCGCGTTTAATGTATAACGGACGGGATAAGCTAAGCTAAAATTATCTAATTATCTATTTCAGTTAATGTTGCAGATTGCGTTGTTTCTTAATCTTCGAATTGGATCCGGATGATTATTTTTTGCAGACTATTAGAGCAATTTATAAAAGTAAGCTTGAACTTTCGATTATGTCAAATAGAATTTCCGATTTATTATTACTAATATGTAAAGGATATACAAAGCGAAAGTATTTTTCGGAGTCCATTAAACAAAAAGTGGAATTGCTGCAAAAAATGCATAAAGGCATATCCTTTGTTTATCTAAACTTTAACGTTTGCTTATCTAACTTTGTTTATCTTTAAACGCCGCGGCGGCGTGCAATGAATTGGAAGTTGATCTGTCAGCACTATCCTTATCTTCAGGGCAGATGTTTTTATTTTATTTGGCTTATAATTCCTTACTCAATGTAGTATTTCATCTCGATGTACTCCGTCTTGATATGATTTAAATCAATTGCCTCGTCATTAAATTCGCTTCCGATAGCGCGAAGAAAGTGACAGAGAGGTTATTGAAAACGAAAAATTTCGATTGACAAATTAGTCGGTATTCTCGACACAAGCAATTATAGGACTTGAACAGCGGAACTCTTGTAACTGAACAAGAAATTATGTCTGTTTATAGAATTAAAGAGAATGTATTATCACATAAAAAACGAAGCAACTTAAACAACTTACATTGAAGAAATGTTTAATAAAGTAAACAAATAAATATTAAGCTTTTTTTTTGTAAATTTGATACCCTTTAGATCATAATTGTTCTTTATTTCGTAAATTACGGTTTCATATTTTAATTTTAAAATTTCTGCATGCCATCTTACCAGATTTAAACTGATGATATATAATCCGGAAAAATCGATAATCCGGAATCGCCCAAGTCCCGACAAGTCCGGATTAACGACTTTTGACTGTATATATTTCTGTTTTTTATGAATATTTATGTTATTAGTTCTCTTGTACTTATATTTATATAGCAGAATTTATGATTATGTGTAACTACATAACGAATTATATAGACGATCACGTTTTGGATCTGTTGTATTCTTACTGTAAACGCAGCAGGCAAATATAAAATGGCTGACTGATGAACACTTTCTTCTTATGTCAGAAATCATTTCCCTCTTTTTTTTTTCTTTTCTTTTTCTGTAGGTTTCTGAAAGCAAGAAGAATTTATAAATTTTATTATGCCGTCGAATCGAGAACAGCTTATCCTAATCTATGGCGAGTGGCTAACCTGATTCATGTCCTCTTGCTTCTTGCCCACTGGTTCGGTTGTTTCTATTATATGCTATCTGAACTGGAAGGATTCCAAGGTAACTGGGCGTACAAGCATCCAGAGAATGAATACTCTCCACTGATCAGGAAATACCTTGGATCAGTGTATTGGTCAACTCTGACACTTACCACCATAGGGGATTTGGCCACCCCAGCTACAAATTTACAGTAAGTGTTTTCTGCTTATTCAGTTTGAATCTAATTTTCTGATTGAAAAATCCTTCTTACCCTGATTTATAACGATAAAAAAATTAATCATGTAGCTTAAATTGCACCACAGCGCTTCAAGGTTGCACAGACTTTCGAATCGTGATTTCCCAAATTTCACACCGTTTTCACTTCCTTGTACGAAGTAAAAAGGAAGTATTGTAATCGCGAAAAGTTTCAGACAGCATATTTCAACGAAAATATCCATTTTGACCGCTGTCGAATACAATTTAACGATGTTTTTGCGTGATAACTGTACGTAAGAACAGAATAAAACACTCTTTTCCTCCAAAAAAATTATAAAACTCCTTTAAAATGAATTCTGAAGAGAATTTTTCGGGGCGTCTGTACGACGTATGTACGTAGGTACGTGTCTCAATACTCGAACGAGTTGCTCAGAAAAAAAAAAACGTAAAAAAAAAAAAAAAAAAAAAAAAAAAAATAAAAAAAAAAAAACAAAAAAAAAAATGTGATGTGCACCTCGTTTTTTCGTTCAATCGGCCTTGCCAAACGTTATAATATATTTATAAATATATCCACTCTGTTACCCGGCTCAGTGATCTCAGTTTCTTTACTCGTATTGTTTGTAAGAGTAAAGAAACTGTAAATTGTACATTTTTTGCTTTAAAAATGATGGAATTATGTTGTTCTTATCTTCCAGTTAAGGTTTTTATGCCTTTATTAAATCTATATGCAATATTATTAGAATTATCAACAATTTAAAAGTTGTTTACGTGCCGCTAACCCTAATATTTTTTTGTTGATGCCTTGCTCGGCCTTGCTTGTTTACATTTGAAACAGTAGAGTACTGGATTTGTTGCCAATCTAGAGAAACGCAGCTTCGCAACAACAAAGATAAGGCCTTCATTTATTATTGCGAATTAAATCATGCTTAACCCTTTCTGGAATTTTTCGAGGAAATGAGTGTTGTGAGAGTTACTTGATTTTAATAATTTAATTTTTAAATTAGTAATTTTTAATACAGATTTTTTGAGTTTTTGTACTTTTGCCTTGTCGCGAAGGAGAACTGAGAATTAATTGAATGAGAAAACTCAATCGTCTGTGAAACTGTTTCTTTTTTGTTTTGTTTGCTTACTTTCTTTTATACATCGTTCTAGCTTTATATAGTATTTGATAAAAACATGTGGCAAAGATTAGATAATTCTTTAAATGATAAAAATTTTGTGCATTCTGAGTTATAATATGAACGAAATATAATAGTGTTAAGTGACTGACGCCAAGGTCGCTATGGTAAACAAATAAGTGGATTTTAAAGAATGCTTTATTCGTTGGGTTTATGCGCTGTCGGCGAAGTAGTTTAATTCATCCATAAGTTTTAAACGAAATTCAAGAAAAATGCATATAATTTAATATTTCCGTAAAAAAAAGTCATGTGGTGTACACATCAGATTTTTTGGTTAACGAAATGAAACTTTATCATGGAATTATTACGATATTGAAAATGTATTAAATTTACGCTATTTAACAAAAAAGGGGTTAAAAATAATATTAAGGTAAAGTGTTTTTAATTCCTTCTCCGTCTTGCTCGAAAATCTCTTTAACTTTCATGGCTGACAATTTTGAATACCCTGACTGGGAAATTTAAACAAGCTAATAAATGCTATGCAGTAGCAGTTTACAAATTCTTTTCTGGACGACGAGAAAAAAAAAAACTAAAGCTAAAATAGATTGCACGTATTTTTATAATGATTGGTAAGTGTTTTCTCTCATAAAATCGTTTTATAATATTTCGTTATGTGTCAGTTGTATGATATGTTAAATATGTGTATGATATGTTAAATGCGTGTATGTAATGTTAATATATGTATTGGGATATGTTAAGTATGTGTATGATATGTATGATATGTTCTCTAATAAATCCCTTTGACCATTTTTTCTCAATTATTTAAAGGCCCACCAGCGGCCGAGCGGTAAAGTCGCTGAAACACTGGTAGTTTGGTCCGAGGTTCGAATCCCGCGAACGGGCTGGCTGCATGGGCGTTTTCGTGGTTTTCCTCATGTGTAACGTGTATACGAGCCAGTTTCCCTTAGAAAGTCCTCCACGAAAGGCATCCCCTCCCCTTAGGCAGATAGCCCTAGTGTGCTTTGCCATAATTAAATACACACACACACCTCAATTATTTAAAAAAATCTTGTGATTTCTTGCGTGGTAAGAAATATGTCAGTGTAAAATTTTAAATTAGGCATATAAAATGCAAATTTACGTTGGTGTAGACTTTAAATGAAATTTTATACATTTCAAAGGCTATAGAACGCAGGTGTCTCTTTTTCAAAAGAAAAATTTAAAAAAAAATTCTTGCTGTCGAAGTAATAAGACATTCCCGAATATAGTTAATAATATCTCTCTTTCCAGTTAAATGTACAGCATTTACATTATATTTCATTTTAAAGCAATAGTTGACGTAGTACGAAAACAATCTGACCTGAAACAAAATTTAAGTTCATTTTTGCATATTATTTCCATCTATTTTTCACTTTGAAAAATCATCTAATGTTATGTAACGTGTGAATTCAGAGGTGTGAATATTATTCTTCGATATATTGATCATTCTGTTTTGTTGGGTGTTTTATGCAGTTTTCTTCCTTTCCGTTGTAAAAGTTTCGTTTTGTTATTTGTTGGAATACGCTTGAGTTATTTACACAGTTTCTTAAGAGCTCTCAGCTGGGAAAGCATCGTTTGAAATTGAATTGAAATTCCTTCTAATGACATAATTAATTAAATTCGTAGAAGAATCAATTTAGTAAACTTTGCCAAGTGCACTTCTTCTAAAACGTTAAAGCCCTAACCTTTACATTCCTTTTTATGAGGTCCATGTAGTAGATTTTAACAAAGAAGAATTATGTTTACATAGGAAACGAAAAATTCTAGAAGCGAATGAGAAAGTGATTTTTTAAAAGAAAATAGTAAGGAATTTTAGAATTTCTTTTCTTGCTTTGCAAGAGAATGAATTGAAGTTTTTCAAGAAAAACATTAAATTATGCTACTTTCATTTACAATCAACCTCTGTCTTTTGACAATTATTTTCTGTAGAAGAAGCAGTTAACTCAACTAGTTAGTTCAAAATAAATGCTATTTATCTTGATGCAGCATCTTTGTCTTCTTTAGATTGAGTTTGTCAGGTTTTAGGCACATCTGCTAAATAGCATTTTATGCCAAACACCCCAAACCCAGTGCATCCTAGCTCCATTTGTTTGGGTCACCCACTTTGTTTATGAAGTCTAACAGCCCTTTAATGGAAGCTCAGGTGTAACACTTCAGAACTGATAATACCTAAATTACAGTCTGTCTATCATAAGAAAAGCACTCGCCAGTTAGTCTGCAGCTGTCTGTTGCCATAGAAACGAGCCTTGACCCATGTCTGATGGCCTCGATGTGTTTTGAATATTTTCTTTTCAGTTCGCCATCTTAGCGCATTTCAAGATGAATTAGCAACCCTTGGTTTTGTCCCTATTTGAAATATACTAGCCCTGTTGATATAGCGATTGCCAACGGCCGGACACTCTGACGGAAGCTGTTTTTCTTGTAGACAGACAGTAGTTAACGTTATCAGAAGTTCAAGGTCAATAGCCTGTTCCTCCGATAAACGTTTTTCAGGATGTCCCTCAATGAGTATAGCCACCTTGACCACCGTAAGAGCCACCCTGAAGGCCCCCTGTCCCTTTTGGCACTCTTCGGGGCTGTATTCTGCTCCATCCTTTGAAATTACCTCCTTTCCCCTTTCCCCTTGGGTTTTCAATCCAAGTACCTTTGGCAATTTTAAATTTTCGAGCAAATTTCTTTTCTTTTCTTGTCCTCCGAACATTCTCTTTTTTATTTTGATTTTATTTAGACAAGCAGTCGTGCTTTTAATAGCTTCTTGCCCTTCTCCAGATGATGATTGAGTAACATGAGTAGAAGATCCTTTCTACCTCGCTCGATTCATTTCTGCTCCTTCGACTTATTTTCTCTGGGTTTCCTTGTTTTGAGAAGAAAGCTCTACCAAAGGTTTTGCCAGCAAAAGCAAAACTTCTAGTTATATTGTCATTTTCAGCCGTATATAAATTAGAAAAGAAAGTACAGGATAAAAATGTCCCCACAGTACTGCCTGTTAAATAAGGCAAAAATGCTCTAGAATTTGACAGGTATACTATAGACTTCGTTAAGACACATTATATACACCTGATCAACAAGAAGAAGTTGTAACTTTATTCAAATAAATAACAGCACGTATAGAAACGTAAACCTTTATAAATAGCTCAGGAAGAAAACCAGAGATAAGTAAATTCTCCTTGTAACACGAGAAACATCACAAATCTGCATAATCACGTATAAAGCAAAGCGTAAAGCAGGAATCACGAGCAAAAGATAATCTCTGTAGCATGATTCTGACACGAATAACTGGACTGACTCTACACTGGTCTCCAATGCAGCCAATATTTAGAGAGTCCTTACACTTTTTCGTGAAAAATTGCTCCAAGGGCTTACAAAATGCTTTTTCCGAAATTTTCAGGAGGCGACACATAAATAGCTAAAAACTCAGTGGCGCAAAACAGCACTAATGGGCCAAGTCCTGTAGTGCCCCGAAGTCTGTTTTTGGACCGTGGGCCCCGGGGTGCGTAAACATACGCCCTGAACAAGTGGTAAGCTTGTCGCAGGACCCTCAGTGTTTAGTCCCCAAGCGAACTTGGTACTCATTTTATCAACCCAAGGAATGGAAATCAAGGCATGAAAGGCTGAGTCGACCTTCCCCAGCCCGGCGTTCGAACTCCGGACCTATGATGCTGCTGCGCGATGCGCTAGCCACTGCGCCACCGGGCCTCACACAAATATTTTCATAAAGACCTCTTAGAAGAATACACTGACTACCAAATAAGTATTTGGAAACCTGTGATAGAAAAGTAAAACTAACTTTATTCAAAATCAATAGTTGGTAGAGCCTCCACGAGAGGTAATTACAGTGTGGA